CAATATTCTAATTTTCTGATATGATGAAATTGAGATTTTCATTTGTTGTCATTTGTAATCATCAAAATTAAACTAAATAAACATCTGAAATATATGAGTTTGTATGTAATGTATGAATATAATATACAAGTTTCACTTTTTAAATGGAATTACTGAAATCAATCTACTTTTTCATGATATTCTAATTTTATGACCAGCACCTGTAAATGCTCAATAAATAAATAAGCATACAATTAATTGCCACCAAAAATACAATAAACAAATAAATGTAAGCAGAAATTAAATTATACAGTGAGACATAAATGCATATAACTGTTTTAATTAGCTTCTTTATTTATTTGCCTTTGTAATATTTACCTTATTATTTATTCTGAACAGGAAACTGCTTTAACATCAGGTTTTCACACCGCTAGATGGAGCTGTTCTTCCAGTTCTAGCTTTGAAAGTCAGTGGATTATCCTCCTGTTTGAACTTCTGGTTTCAGTAACTCCCCTCATTTTCCACCAGGGGGAGACAAATCCCCACAAATCATTGGATCCGGTGTTAAAGGAAAAAAAAAAAACTTCTGAAAGTCTTTAAACGCAGCGGGTGAAATCCTATATTTTAGGCTACTGGTTGTTTTTCCTGCAAGGCTTTGGTTTTACGTGCGCTCAATAAAAATTATAATGCCAATCTTTAGTTTGACTTAAAATAAAGTCATTTAATATAACAACAATGCTTATAGTTTTACTATTTGGCTTTTACATAAATACAGAAATTCGACATTGATCTGAAAATCAATGAAAATTGTTGCCTCCTCTCATTATGAACAGCTGAACAGAATCATGGTTGACCTTAAGTAACCCCATCCCCCATCACTCAAAATGAAATGCGCCCCCTCGTGGCCATAAACACAGGAAAGGACAAATGGCTCCTACAAGTCACTAGATATAACAATTATCAAACTTAAATTTAAGTAGTCGCAAATAAATGTATGATATACATAACTAGCAAATAAGGTTTATGCATTCATTATCCTGTTTTTAAAGTTAGTTCTATGTTACACGGTTTCCTTTTGTTTCATGTAATTATATTTAGTCTACAGAGGACTTTTGTCGCTCAGTGTCAATATGTGTGCTGCTGCAGCGCCGCAAGTGACCTCCTCCGCCACTTATAGTAGGCTAGTTTTGGCTCATACTAGTGTTGGCCGTTTTTATTTACTTTTTCTTAGAAATGTACCTAAATAATGTTCTACTGTTTACTGTATGTAGCCTACACAATATCAGTGTTGGGAGTATGCAGTAAAAAAGTAATTTAATTAGGCTATAGTAATGCATTGCTTTATGCATTAATGCAGTAATGTAAAGCATTACCAATACAATTTCAGTAATATTTTACTCCTTACAATTCTCAGTAACTAAAGTTACTTTGCTTGTTTTGTTACTTTTATGGTTTCCAGATAGTGTACAAGTGAAGGAATAGAATAAAAAGGCTCTTATAATGAAATATTTTGTAGTACTTTGAAAATACAAAAATACAGTATTTTATTTTGATACATTTTTAGGCTGCTGTATTTTTTTTGTGTATTTTGATACGTTTTTAAGGTCGGTATTTTGTATTTTATTTGGAAATACATTTTGATGTATTTGTGCCCATCCCTGACCGTGATGCTCTTTAGAGTCAACGACACAATGCCAGCAAATATCAACTGTTGCTACAAGCTCATCTAGGAGGAATGTGGTGGGAAACTTTTACTAATCTGACTGTATGATCAGATTAAACTGTCTCTGTAAAGTGCGTTTAGATGATGTGTTGTGAATTGGCGCTATATAAATAAACTATGAGCTTGGAACTCAACGCTCTTCCAGACATTTTGAATTCCTGGATGGAGAGCGAAATTTCTTCAAAGTTGGAAAAAAAGTCCAGTGGATTGTTTTTTTTTTAAACGTTTTTGAGATGACTACGACCTGGATGACTGATATTAATATATTAATAAAATAAATAAAATAAAGTAACGTGAGTAACTTACCAAAAAAGAGTTGAGATAACATCTTGTGAGCTGTAAAGGTATCAATAAATAAAGAAAGATGGTATTTAAAACTGTAATTTCTACTGAAGATAAACTGAAAGTGAAATAAATAACATAAAAACTACAGGTTGAATATGTTGTGATGTGACTACAATCAACAGAACCAAACCTAAATCCCACAAACAAAAACAACAAACTATAAAACTAAATATCAGACAGAAAGCACAATTCAAATTTAGCCCAACTTTTGATACATTAATAATATTTAAAATGTTAACCAGGATCTCAAATTTGAAATAGCAGTAAACATATATAAACAGAAGCAAGGCAGCCTCTCTCTGCCTTGCAACCTTATATTAATCAAATCCTGAGATTGCAAAAACATGAACCATTTGAAGTATTAAATGTTAGTGGACATAATGGAAGGATGAAGGTGCAGATGAGAAGCAGGTAACTAATGAACTGAAGCTACTACAAACTTAATTCTGGGCTGAAAAAACAAGATATTAAAGACAAGAAGTTCACAGTGATCCACAAAATCTGAAAGGAGAGAAGCCCATCTCAGAAACCCCAGGATCATATATAGTTGAGAATGACCGAGCTAAGATCCTATGGGACTTCAAGATCCAGACTGACAAACAGGTGATGGCTAACCAACCAGACATCGTGTTGATCGACAAACAGCAGAAGAAGGCAGTAGTGATAGATGTGGCAATCCCAAGCGACAGCAAGAAGAAAGAACACGAGAAGCTTGAGAAATACCAAGGACTGTGGGCACTGGGGGCTGTGACCCCCAAACTGGGAGAGTGGCTACAGCAGATTCCAGGTAAAACATCAGAGGTCTCTGTCCAGAAGAGCGCAGTCCTAGGAACAGCTAAGATACTGCGCAGTATATATATATATATATATATATATATATATATATATATATATATATATATATATATATATATATATAGTTTTGAATCAATATTTCCCCCAGGAAACACACAGCCAGGCAGACGAGCTCCGAGCCAGCTCCCATGTCAGAGGATGAAGAGAGCACATCCAGTTAGTCACAGTCAGAGAAACAGGACTACACTGGAAAACAGGCCAAGCTCCAACATCTAGAAACAAAGGTGTTGATGGCAGCAGCACAGCTGATATTTCTCTCCAGGATGGAGTCACAGCCAAACAGGAACAGACCAGATGAAGCTACTATGAGAAAAAGCAGAGAGAGCAGAACGTTAGAGATTGAACTAACAGATTCTGCAGAGTGGGAGAATAGAGATAGAATGAAGCAGAATGATGAAAAAGGGGTCCCTATGTCCTCCAGCAGTCTAAGCCTATAGCAGCAGAACTATAGAGATAGATCAGGATAACCTGAGCCACTCTAACTAGAAGCTTTATCAAAAAGGAAAGTTTTAAGCCTAGCCTTAAAAGTAGACAGGGTGTCTGCCTCACGGACTAAAACTGGTAGTTGGTTCCACAGGAGAGGAGCCTGAGAACTAAAAGATCTGCCTCCCATTCTACTTTTAGAAGTTCTAGGAACCACTAGTAAACCTGCAGATTGAGAGCGAAGTGCTCTGTTAGGAACATAAGGAACAATCAGATCTCTGATATCAGATGGAGCTTGGCCATTTAAGGCTTTATATGTGAGAAGGAGGATTTTAAATTCTATTCTGGATTTAACAGGAAGCCAATGAAGAGAAGCCAGGATAGGAGAGATATGATCTCTCTTTTTCATTTTCATCAGAACTCTGGCTGCAGCATTTTGGATCAGCTGAAGGCTTTTAACTACAGTTTGTGGACTTCCTGATAGTAAAGAATTACAATAGTCCAGCCTTGAAGTAACAAATGCATGGACTAGTTTCTCAGCATCACCCCTGGACAGGAGATTTCTCATTTTTGCAATATTCCTCAGATGAAAGAAGGAAATTCTAGAAACCTCTTTGATATGGGATTTAAATGACAGGTCCTGATCAAAAACAACACCAAGATTTTTCACTTTATTATGTGAAATCAGTTTAATCCAAATGAAGTGACTGACTAATCAGCTTATTTTTCAAAGACTATAAATTCGGTTTTGTTTTGAAATTTATGGGAAACTGCAAATACAGGAGGATGTTGTGAAAGAGGTCTAATATATACGAATATATATATATATGTGTGTGTGTGTGTGTGTGTGTGTGTGTGTGTGTGTGTGTGTGTGTGTGTGTGTGTGTGTGTGTGTGTGTGTGTGTGTGTGTGTATATAAAAGAAAAATGAAAACTGCATGCAGGGTGTAAGAATAGGTTTCAACTAATTATATAATATAATAATATAGTAGAGGTAAGTTTTTGAATCAATCTTTTCCCCTGCTCTGGAATTAACCAGATTAGTTTCTAGGCCTTTTCTGTGTTATACGCTAAACATGTTGTCAGCTGAATGCAAAGAACATGCTGTTATTTCCCAGTACTCACTCCCTTCAGGCATGTCTCTAAAAAAAGGACAAGCTGCTGAAAACTGGTCCGTTTGGTTTTTAAACTGAGTCTGTGGAAGAAAAGAAGACATTTCTAAAGACCTCCAGGTTAAACTGTTCCAAGGAACCCGCACCCCTTTCTTTTGAAAAAATAAAATAAAACAAACCGAAGAAAAAAAAGTGTTTTGATTATCCTCATACTTTCACTATGGAAAAGAGGTTTAAGGTTGACCCCTAGGAATCATCTCGGGACCTAATTGGTGTCTGGACCCCAAAGTTGAGAATGGCTGCTCTAGAAAATGTAGCTGCTTATTAAAGAAGAAGTTTAAAAATGGGAAAATGGCTTCTTGATTTAATAAAAAGCTCAAACTTTGAAGCAATATCCTAGGAAACTAGAGAGAAAATGGCACTCTACATGCACACTGGAAATCAACTTAATCAGGAAAAACAGTTTAGTGCTGTATAAAATGACTGTTCATAAAACAAGAGGAGCATATGTTGTCACCGCTCACAGCAGAGGACCCAGTATTCAAGGCAAGACAGACAGTGGGATTACTCGAAAAGCGTTTATTAAAACAACCGATCTGCGGCTCTGCAGTAGCAAAGGCTAGGGCGTCCAAGGCAGCAACTTCTGCAGGAGAGAAACACAGGTTAGTGACCACAATAATCTGACTGAGGATGATTATAAACGCGTGCAACCCAGTCTCATGGGAAAATGTACCCCCACTACGTTGGTCCACACTGCAAAACGTAGTGGAGGTACATTAATGGCCATTTTTTGTGGTACTGTTACATTTCTTCTGCCTATACGCTTTCTATTGTTTTACGTCCTAGTCACGTGACTTTCAAGATTCCAGCTGGGAGAAGAAAAAAATATATATAGATGGCCGACATTCGCTCATTTTTTTGTGGAAAGATTAATAACTTGAGTTTGTTTTTGCATTAAAATGAGTTTTGATTACATTTCTAGTGAGAAATGTATAGTTTGTTGCCAGAATATTTACTCAGGGAATGTACATATTCACTTGCTTGTTCGTTTCTTGCAAAGATTTTTCAAGATAATGTGAAACTGTAACATTTTGGTATAAACATGGCTGAGATTTCTCTAACTTTTAGTGGGAAAATCAATAATTTCAACCAGTTTCTGCATTTAAATGGGTTTTGATTACATTTATAGCGAGAAGTGTAGGGTTTATTTACATAATATTTACTTAGTGAACATACATAATCACCTGCTTGCTAGTTTTTGCTACGGTTTTTCGGATCTCGTCAGGATTATGTGAAATTGCAACGTTTTTGCTGCTACCCATCGCCTAGCATTTAGCTGCCGCCCCGATTCAACATTGAATTCTTTGTGATTTAACTCCATCTGACGGATCAAACCCTCGCCACTGCGTGCGTTGCGTCTCAGGTTGATTTTCAGATCAATGCATTACGTCGTGGCATACGGGAGAAAATAATTAAACTAGTTTAAAAAAAGGATCATGGGTTAAGATCGGAAGTGTTTTATTTGGAAATCTACCGGATCCTATGTGCAATTAACTTCCTGTTTGGTGCGATCTCATTGATGGGTTTTGACCAGATTTTGACCAAAGAGGAACTAAAAAAAACAAAAAACAATTTGAATACACAACCAGCATATCTGGAATCAGTGACAGAGAGCGACTGGGACCAGAAGTTTATTAATTTCTCCCCATTGATTTCCATTCAAAATGTTTTCGATCCCACCGGGCTCTAGGGAAGGGGCGGGCATACCGCCACCTACTGTTCATGAGTGTGTAGCAACATTGTTTTACATCTATTAAATTCTATTTTTTTATTTTGTATTCTGAAGATAAATAAATAATGCTTTCCTTAATCTATAAATATCATTTATATTTCCTTTATTTCCCAATAATCCTTTAAGACTCCATTCTTGGCCTGTCCTCTTTTCAATTTCTTCCTTTCAGGTCCAGATGTTTTACAGTTCATCAATACGTGTTCTACCTTTTCTATCTCTCCACATCCTTCACATTTATCATTATTTTTCCTCCCTATTAAGTATAAATTGTCATTTAAATAAGTATGACCTACTCTTAATCTGATCATTATTATTTCTTCCCTTCGGTTTCTCTCATTAATATTTCTATTTAATACTGACTTTTGTACTTTATATAACCTTCTTCATTTTTATCTTCATTCCACCTTTTTTTTTTGTGCCATTTTTCAATTTCTTTCCTCTTAATAAAGGATTTTCCTTCCCCTTTCCCTAAAGGAATTGTAATTGTTATTTGTCTACTTTTCATTCCAGCTAACTTTCCATTAATTAGCTTGAAAACAGCACTTTGTAGGCACCCAGTTTCTCTAACAATGGCCCTTTTTGGGTTACCCTCCATGCATTGGGTGTCAGTTCAGTGGCAGTTCCAGAACATTTTCTTAGGGTTGACCAGGCAGCACAATAATGTGCATGTGGCCAAAAAGTAATAGGGATCAAATTCGGTTCAGAATCAAGCTATTGGGATCAGGCATCAGGTTCAATTTGCATATTTTCTAAGCCAAAACAAGGATTTGTTGGGCTACTGTAATTTTGAATTGAAAAACGTCCTGAATGGGAAGTCTTCAAACTTGAAAAACAAAGTCCAAAGTTTTTTTTTTTTTTTGGGAATGATTATGACCTGGATGTCTAAGAATCTTCACCAGCTTATCAGGGAAATGAATGCCCACAATGTCTATATTCTCCAAAAGAGAATAACAGAACAGACCTTCATGAGGCCCTTGTTAAAGCTATGCACATATTTATGCATCTATGCTCTTCAAATAACTTTTTTTTAAATGGGTTGAGAGGTTGTTCTTTACCAGTAAATACATAAAAGATTCCCAGATGACTGCCGATACAAACTCTCCCCTATAAAACCTAAAACTAATTCTTATAAGAGAGTAAAATCTGTATTAGTCTTCATTAAATGTAGCATATTGTTGTACATAATCGATTGCTTTATTTTTGGTGTCAGCTTTTGGTCAATATGCTAACCTTAAAAGGTCAAAGTGGGAAAATGTAGTAGTAGTAGACAAATTAGCAATTAGAGGAGGCAATAACAATTACAATTCCTTTAGGGAAAGGGGAAGGAAAATCATTTATTAAGAGGAAAGAAATTGAAAAATGGCAAAAAAAAGGTGGAATGAAGATAAAAAAGGAAGAAGGTTATATAAAGTACAAAAGTCGGTATTAAATAGAAATATTAATGAGAGAAACCGAAGGGAAGAAATAATAATGATCAGATTAAGAGTAGGTCATACTTATTTAAATGACAATTTATACTTAATAGGGAGGAAAAATAATGATAAATGTGAAGTATGTGGAGAGATAGAAAATATAGAACACCTATTGATGAACTGTAAAACATCTGAACCTGAAAGGAAGAAATTGAAAAGAGGACAGGCCAAGAATGGAGTCTTAAAGGATTATTGGGAAATAAAGGAAATATAAATGATATTTATAGATTAAGGAAAGCATTATTTATTTATCTTCAGAATACAAAATAAAAAAATAGAATTTAATAGATGTAAAACAATGTTGCTACACACTCATGAACAGTAGGTGGCGGTATGCCCGCCCCTTCCCTAGAGCCTGGTGGGATCGAAAACATTTTGAATGGAAATCAATGGGGAGAAATTAATAAACTTCTGGTCCCAGTCGCTCTCTGTCACTGATTCCAGATATGCTGGTTGTGTATTTAAATTGTTTTTTGTTTTTTTTAGTTCCTCTTTGGTCAAAATCTGGTCAAAACCCATCAATGAGATCGCACCAAACAGGAAGTTAAATGCTCAAAGGATCCGGTAGATTTCCAAATAAAACACATCCGATCTTAACCCATGATCCTTTTTTAAGCTAGTTTAATTATTTTCTCCCGTATGCCACGACGTAATGCATTGATCTGAAAATCAACCTCAGACGCAACGCACGCAGTGGCGAGGGTTTGATCCGTCAGATGGAGTTAAATCACAAAGAATTCAATGTTGAATCGGGGCGGCAGCTAAATGCTAGGCGATGGGTAGCAGCCAAAACGTTACAATTTCACATAATCCTGACGAGATCCAAAAAACCGTAGCAAAAACTAGCAAGCGGGTGATTATGTATGTTCACTAAGTAAATATTATGTAAATAAACCCTACACTTCTCGCTATAAATGTAATCAAAATCCATTTAAATGCAGAAACTGATTGAAATTATTGATTTTCCCACTAAAAGTTAGAGAAATCTCGGCCATGTTTATACCAAAATGTTACAGTTTCACATTATCTTGAAAAATCTTTGCAAGAAACGAACAAGCAAGTGAATATGTACATTCCCTGAGTAAATATTCTGGCAACAAACTATACATTTCTCACTAGAAATGTAATCAAAACTCATTTTAATGCAAAAACAAACTCAAGTTATTAATCTTTCCACAAAAAAATGAGCGAATGTCGGCCATCTATATATATTTTTTTCTTCTCCCAGCTGGAATCTTGAAAGTCACGTGACTAGGACGTAAAACAATAGAAAGCGTATAGGCAGAAGAAACGTAACAGTACCACAAAAAATGGCCATTAATGTACCTCCACTACGTTTTGCAGTGTTGACCAACGTAGTGGGGGTACATTTTCCCATGAGACTGGGTTGACGCGTGAGTCCCTAACCTGGTTTAACAGTTCAGTCCAAGCCCAGAGAACGTGGTAGATTGCAGCTGGTCAGCTGACAAGACATAGCGATTGCCGCAGAGTGTTCCAGAAGCTGAAACCTTGACAAGTGAAAAAGAAGCAGGAGATCAGATCCAAGCAGAGGAAGGAAGGCATGATAATTCAGAGAGCAAAGTAAAGAGGCAGACCCAGATACAGTCCACAAGAAAAATCCAAAAGGAGTCCAAAGACGGATCAGGCAAACGCATCAGAACGGGGACAGGCAAGCTCAAAGGTCCGAAGACAAAACGGGTCAGGAATAGACAATTAGAACACAATCAGTAACGCTAGAAAACTCTCACACCAGCTTCGTTGATATAGGAGAATAAGAGTAAGACTAGATTTCTTTTTAATACAGTGGCCAAACTTATTCAGTTTTTCAATATTTAACAGCCTCCACACCACTGGCATAACTTTCTGAAGGACTGGTATGGACATGTCCCCACCAACTTTGGGCCTGGAGGGGACAGTCCCCACCAATAATTTATGCTTTTTTTCCCCCTTTCTTGTGTTCTTAACAACAGTAAAGCATTCAATAAATATATTTTAGAGCTCATTTTTGGAAAATATAAACCCTATTGAAAGCGTTCGGGTTGAGTAGCTGTAGGTCCATCAGCCACCACCCTTAGAGCGCCCCCAAATACTTTGATCGCAAAGTTACACCCTTGCTCCACACACAGGCTCTAGCCACTATATTTCATTTACCCGCCATCTTTTAGCTCCTGGGAAAAGTTGCCTTTCACTGAGGCAACATCTCTCTCCTCCCTCTTTTGTTTCCTGTTTTAAGCTCCTGAGAGCTTCCTTTGATTTGACTCCATTTTAGCACCACTGCTCCTCCATGGAAACACTCTCCAGTTCAGTCACGCAGTCTCAGGCGGGGACCAAGGAAGCAAGAGGGGGTTTGTGTGTGCGGGGTAATCTGTAATCTTTATAATTTACACATGCAAAAAGGCTTTTATATACGAAAATAAAAACTGTTTTTTTTTTTCATACATTGTTTTGGCACCCTCCAGATATAGTAGTGCCTCTGTGTGCCTAATACACAGCATATACTCTTTTTGTACCACATATTTTAATAATGCAATAACATAGGAAATTCAATTCTATTCAGTGTATTTCTATAGCTCCAATTCACATCATGTCATCTCAGGTCACTTTCCAGTTCACCAGATCATCCAGTCAGATTGATTCAAAGTTTTCTATCTAAGGAAAACCTGCTGATTGCATCGACTCATTGACTCTTCAGCAATCCCTCACACTAAGCATGCTTGTAGCGACAGTGGAGAGGAAAAACTCCCTTTGAACAGGAAGAAACCTCCAGCAGAACCAGGCTCAGTGTGAGCGGCCATCTGCTGAGGCCCACTGGGGTTCAAGGAGACAGAAGCAGACATAGAAAAAGAAGCATAGATACAAAAGGCAACTGTCAACCAGCTCCACAGGCGGCCCCGTCCAGGAAACACACAGCCAGGCAGACGAGCTCCGAGCCAGCTCCCATGTCAGAGGATGAAGAGAGCACATCCAGTTAGTCACAGTCAGAGAAACAGGACTACACTGGAAAACAGGCCAAGCTCCAACATCTAGAAACAAAGGTGTTGATGGCAGCAGCACAGCTGATATTTCTCTCCAGGATGGAGTCACAGCCAAACAGGAACAGACCAGATGAAGCTACTATGAGAAAAAGCAGAGAGAGCAGAACGTTAGAGATTGAACTAACAGATTCTGCAGAGTGGGAGAATAGAGATAGAATGAAGCAGAATGATGAAAAAGGGGTCCCTATGTCCTCCAGCAGTCTAAGCCTATAGCAGCAGAACTATAGAGATAGATCAGGATAACCTGAGCCACTCTAACTAGAAGCTTTATCAAAAAGGAAAGTTTTAAGCCTAGCCTTAAAAGTAGACAGGGTGTCTGCCTCACGGACTAAAACTGGTAGTTGGTTCCACAGGAGAGGAGCCTGATAACTAAAAGATCTGCCTCCCATTCTACTTTTAGAAGTTCTAGGAACCACTAGTAAACCTGCAGATTGAGAGCGAAGTGCTCTGTTAGGAACATAAGGAACAATCAGATCTCTGATATCAGATGGAGCTTGGCCATTTAAGGCTTTATATGTGAGAAGGAGGATTTTAAATTCTATTCTGGGATTAACAGGAAGCCAATGAGGAGAAGCCAGGATAGGAGAGATAT